TTAGCCTTCTTTGTTCAAAGGTGTTGAAGCAAGCTTCTTTGAAGTCAGTTATTAATTTTGTCTGCCGTGAAATCTAAAGTGAATCCTTATTGTCAAGTATCATTTATAAAAATTCACTCTCTTCTGCCTCTTCAGTGAGTTTCTGAGTATGTAGTTAGAACCTTTCCCTGAGTGTGTGTGTGTGTGTGTGTGCTGTGTATTAAACACCACACTTATTGTAGATTTGATAAATCTGTGCAATTTCTTCCAAATAGACGTTTCATGTCTCTCTGCTTTGCTAACACAATAGGATGCACATTGCTTTATGGCACTTTGTCTTACTCATTTAACTTTTTTACCTTTTAGATTCTTGAAGGTTTTTTTTTTCCAATTCTTGATTAGTGTAAATTTAAGCACATATACTTATAATCTCTCCCTGTTAAAACCTATCATGATGATAAAATATATATACCAGCTATAAATTAAGAGAGAGCAGATAAGCGTAAGGCACAATAAGAAATAAAATAGCTCAGAAACATTTGAAGGAATAAATTTGGACAAAGGAAAGGTCAGTCACTTAAAGAGGGAAAAAAGATGTCACCCAAGGAATCTTTTTCATGGAGATGGGAAAAGGAATTCTCCAGAGACACTGTAACTGAACAAGGTCTTCAAAGTATATAGTGTTTCAGTTGTAAATATTTTTATTAAACAAATATTAACAGGCTTTTAAAGAAGTGTGCAACATGAAAGAGGATGTGTGCACATACCCACACACACTCACACAAAAACACAAATACACATTCACACACACTTACAGACATACAGCGAGGTAAAATGATTGGAAACTGTATAAAAGGATGCATTATTTAAAAATAAGATTTGTTTGAGAGGTTTGAGACATTACCATTCTATAAGATAAGTATCATCAGAGCTATTAAAGAGTGTGTCAAGTAACAAAGGTTCTAGCAAATTAAAAAATAATAATAATAATTTTAAAAGATTAAATGAAACTTTTAAAGGCAACATGAAAGGTATCTACCAGAATTTTTAGAAAATGGACAGCAACAAAATAAAAGTTTTGTCGTTTTCAAACGGTAGGAGAATTAGAGAGTTAATATGAGAAACAATATACACTTATTTTTACTCCTAGAAATACATTTAGCAAAATGATAGAGTTAATAATATCAAATTTAAAAATTTAAGTATTGATATGTATGAAATACCATATTCAAACAGCATGAACAGAACACAGAAAATTAAACAAGAAATATTTCCTTGAAAGAGGTTATCTTGAAATTTCTACGTGTCTTCCTGAGAACATTTTTTGAAAAGTGTCAATGTTACCTGTAAATACATGCTCCTAAAACTGTCTTTATGAAGAAAATATCAAAAATGAGAAGAATTATTTATACAGAAATACCAAGTAAAAGACCATCAGATTTTACAGTAATTTATATTTTTGTATTTTAGAAATGTGTACTAGCAGATGGATAAATGCCGTCAACTTAGCTACCACAGACACAAAGAGGAGGAAAGAGAAAAAGAAGTGGAGGTGGTTGTATGTGGAGGGGAAGGTCTGCATTCACCAGGGTGAGAGTAAGAATCAAAAGATGATATTTAATAATTAAGCTTGAGAAGATAAGCATATTGGTGAAAATACACAATTAAATACAAGGGGAAAATGTTAAAATAATACAAAACGTCTGCCTTGTGGATCAGGAGGAGTGAGTTATGAAACCATTGCTTGCCTTCTGGGCTGTGAGATTATGTTCATATTCCACTGGAATAAATTATTAAAGTGATGTAAAACTGATGTCACAGTTAAAAACTGAAGTCATGACTAACATTATACTCATTTGTGAAGACTGAAAGCTTTTCTTTTAAGAGGAAGAAAAAAAGACAAGGATGTCCACTTTTGTCATTTCTAATTTACACAGTACTGGAAGTAAATTATCTTCATTTAC